CTTAGATCCAAATATATCAATAATTTTTTCTACATCAATATTTAAATCGTTTTCAATGTATAATATGGATGAATTATTAAACCTGTCTTGCAACCATGTCAGGTAACCATGTCTTAATTTTGCGCATAGCTGAAAAGCTGCGTTCGCATGTAGCTGAACTAATTGACAAAGACAAGGCGACTTGAAATAATTTGAATAAGCTGGGAAATACATTTAGGGTTAGAGCCTTTTGAATTTTATCAATATTTATTGGGTTTTTTGAAAAATGTATAACTTTATTTAGCACTTGAATTAAAATTAAATGATAACATTATCAAAAACATTGTTATAATGTTTTGCCGTTTTGGAACTAAAATAATTTTCATAATTTATTCTTATTAATAATTGAGGCGTATAGTTTCAAAACCAGCCAAAAGCACATTTTTTGAAAATTGAGTTTTTTGTTTTGTAAATGGTCACACTGTTTTACAAGTCCTGTAAAAATATTGAACATCAAATAGAGCTATAACTGGTTTAAACTGACCATGGAAAATTGTGGTTGGTTTCAAAATCACCCATCAAACGAAGTTTTTATCAAAACCAGCCATAACCAAACACGTTTTTTTTCGCGGCAAAAAACAACTGATAATAATATGTATACATTCTAAACCTATGATTTCATATTTATTACAAAATCATAGAGTAAAATGTTAAGGTCTTTTTTGTTTTTTGTTGTTCCTGAACAATTTCAAAATGTGATTATGGCTGGTTTTGAAACTATACGCCTCAATTTTAGTTTTTACTCCATTAATTGAGGAATTTATTACTTTGATAAGTGATCAAATAATTGGGGGGGCTATTGATAATTTTGGGGGTGCTAAGCCCCCCCAAGCACCCGCCAATCTCCGCCTATGATGATGCCCTAAATTTTTGATAACTGTAAAAACAAGCTAGACTGTCAGAACAGTCAACGTGAATATTGTTTTATAACATGAGAAAACATCACATAGCTACGTTATCAGTCCTAAAATGTATATTTAAAACCGAAAAACATTTAAAATTTCAATTTCAAAATCAATAAAACGTTAGTGTTCTCCAAATAAACGATACGTTATACCGTTTCGAATGAAGTGTGCTAATAAGTGACTACACAGTGTTATTTGCACGAGAATAATGTTTATAAATTTTGTTTTTTCGATGGTGGAAATTCGAGGTGAAAAACAAAGGTGGGTAACTGATGACGACAATGAAAATATAATAGGCATAACACATCGTGTGTGTTGTCGTACTTAAATATTATTCTTTTTAAACTTTTCCGTTCATACGGCAAAGAAACGTGTGAAAACACATAATATACATTCACATTAACAATACACATACACTTGAAACACTATTTATAGATATCCACCCGTGTTAGAACACTGCCACTGTCCCTCTTTTTGCGGTGACATAACGCAATTAGTATTTATGTTGGAAATTACTTTACCAACCTAACCTCGAAATAGCGATACATTGCAAACGTGTTTCGCACTATTTTGACAACCCGCGTCTCCAAATGGGCAATCAATTTAATGCCAGCAGTATTGTCGACCCTTTATATTATCTGTTTGTATTTCATTTCACATTTAGATGCAGCGTGGAGATTTCGTTCGAAAAGCGATATAGATCTTAATGTAGCGTGTCTGACGGATATACTTTACCTATAATTAAACACCCACAACCAAAATTGGTAAAATAGTGTTGTTCGATAAAAAAAAAATATGTTATTATAAATATGCCATTTTCAGCGTATTATGTACGTTTTATTATTATTATTTTTTTTTTAAATCTTTTTACTTTGCTAAACTCACCAGTGCAGAACTCGAGTAGCATTTATTAAGCCATAAAATATTCTTTAGTTTTTATTTTTTACGAATTAGAGTCAATTAAAAAAATTACCTGAAATACTAAATACTTTACAACATAAAGTGGCACTGTGTTGCAAACAAAGAATAATATAGATACATTCAACTTTTTTTTCTGAATTCTAAAATCTGGTTTCGAGTCTTTTCAGTAATATTAGTCGTACATAATTATCGGAATATTAGAATTGTCTTTTGCGTTAAATGTTTAAAAAAAAATCTTTTTAATTCCTCGTAACTCAATTATGTAATTTGTAATTTATTACATTGAACGATTATAAGTTTTATTTTATAATTATATACCATAAATCGTTTTAACTAGTAATTTGTAAATAAACATGTTTTTACTTTGTTAACATTTTCATGGATTTAACTGTACTTTGGTCAGTTTCGGATTTATCCATGTTGTCATTAGTCAGCGGGCGTTTCGAACCTTTAGCGGGGTCCATCACCAGAGAAATAGTAATATTTTTCTAAAGATGGACCCTGAAATGGATTCGAAACGTCTGCTAAATAATGACAACACGGATAGATCCGAAAATAATTAAAGTAAATACGTTTTTTTTTGGGAAATTATCCCACCTCTGATCATAACGATTATAATCTGTGGTTTAATGTGGATATCTCAACGATACCCTTCCTCTGACCGTAGGTACGAGCCGAACGAACCGAAAAAAAGCAAAGCTGATTATTCTCATTTGAAACGTGTAAAAAACATAATTATTCAGATATGACAACCCTGGAGCTGTGTTCGAAGAGATTGTTTTTTTTTTGGTGTATGGTTTTTATGTAAAATAAGTATGAAAGTTGTTGTTGATCGGCCGAACATGTTTATAAATACAACGAGAACGCTGAAATGAAAATAAATAAAACACACCGTCTTTAGCAATACAAATTTCTATCGAATGACATCCATAAATGAATATGTTATCATATTTTATTTTGGCCACAAGCTAACAATGAAAATAAGTAATAACAAAAAAAAAACACAGTCGAAACATTATGAGAATTTGGCGGCGTTTGTTGGATCAAACAGTCTTTACAAACATTTTAACGTCATTGAAACAGACTAATCGGTATTCGAACTTGCAATACAACATTATAACTAGTATACTGCTATTAGCAACAGATTTGAATTTTCGTTGGGCACATGTAATGTTAAATGTGGTGAAAATATTAAACTGTCACCAAAAATAATAAAAAATTTAAAAAATCCTTGACAATATCAAATGTATTGTTTTAGTATTACCAATTCTGACCAACGGTTTGCATTTTAATTTTTTATGGCTGCCTATTAAATAATTAATAACTAAAAATCAAATCAATTATAATACAAATATAGGAATTATACATATTTTGTAATCTGATAAATAGCAATACCAATAATAATAATAATAATTATTTAAATCGCGTCTCTTAATGTCTTCGACTTTGATTTGTTATTAACTATTTTTATTGAACATTTTATTTCGTTATTATTCAGTTGCCACTGTAGTTGCATTATGGTCAAATTATAATTATTATCAAATTTATTCCCATTACATTCTGTAATAAATAAAGTTTTGCCCAAACAAAGTTTTTTTGAGAAATACATTGGTATAAGTTCTTTTAACCAGGTTAATAGCTATATAGGTTCTAGTTTTATTTTTCACCTGGTTTACATTTGTGAGCAAATAAATATTTCAGTTTAATGCTCAGTTATAATACAAATTGAAATTTGTTTTTCTCATTTTTTAGTTGGGTACCTAGATAAGTTGTTTTTTAATTTATAAAATATGTGCTCGTGACGTTCACTAAAAGTTGTGTTGATTTTTATTGAACGGTAATACATTTATCAACACAATACCTACATAGTACATAAGCACATTTTTTTGAATATTTTTGCATCTCAAGTAAATGTTATACCAAATGACAAACGGATATAGATAAAAGACCTTAGCATTTACACGTTTAATCAAAAGTCGAGTATATTTTATTTTTATGCTTAATTACTCATGTAAATTGTTTTTTTTTTTTTTACAGAAAATTATAAAAACAATACGCGATTTTTGAAACTTAACAAAAAAACAAGTCTAAAACGAATAATTTCTTCAAGTTACGTTAATAGTAATAATAATTTGTTCAAGTTATATGCTAATCGAAAGCATATATTTTGTCAGTTGAGATCAAGGCGAAGGAAAAGAAGAAGATGCGACAACGGCTATTGGGTACTTTTCTATACATAGGTATGCCATCGAATTATACCTATAGTTAAATTTTTTTTAAAAATTTAATACATCCATTTTTCGAGAAAAATATATTATATAAAAAACACTAATTTACCCTAAATTAAATAGTATTGAACAAAATTCTGGTATACAAATATTCTTAAACATTTCCTACACTTTACCCAACGCCGTTATTAATATCGAACGTTTAATAACAATAATAATAAACGAACATCTAAAAACCATAATATGAGGAGTGATTTTGTTCAGAAGCCAACATTTTTTGAGCCAATGGTCTACTTTGCTTTCGCCGAGTACTTTTGTACGGATCTGATCGAAATTCAAATGGAGATAATCCCGTTAAAAAAAAGTGTGCGAATATTTTTGATGGGCTTTTTGAAGCGCCCTGTACACACGCGGAAGTACGTTGCCGGGTTGTTGAGCTTGTCCCGGAAAAACGACAACGGCCCGCCGCCGGCATTGGAGAAATATTCTGCTGCGGGTAAAATATAATAAAAACAAAAGCGGAGGCCGAGTACAGATAGTGGCCGGCGGATTGGGGGGGGGGGGATGGGTTTTTTTTTATTTTCGCAAAGGGGCCGAGTTAAGATGTGGTGTTTTTCGGGCGAAGCGTTCGCGTTTTATTTCCAGGGGTGGTGCCCGTCGTCACCTGGCCGGATCGCGCTACGCTACTAAACTACGCACACACCAGTCACTAACCCAAACGGGGCGACGAGCGGTGTGACCGAGCGGAGCGAGCGAGAGAAGGTGACGTGCCGGGACGGGACGGGGTGAACGCCGTGAGGCGGTGAACGGGAGGTGGTGGTGGTGGTGGTGGTGGTGGTGGCGGAGACGGAGGCATCGAGAGAGCAAAACCGAGGCTCGGTGTCGGTCGACGGCGCGCTGTTTATTAATTCGGCCGGTTTAGCCGCAAACGCATGTTTATCGCCGCGTGTGTATTGCGTATTCGTACCGGCAACTCGCGCACGCACAAAAACCGTCATCGCCGCCGCGCCGCCTTCGTCTCCCGACCTCCTCCGTAGTTATTATTTGCTATTAGTATTTAGTCGTGATCGCCTCCTCTTCTGTTGCACGTCGTCCGCCGTTTTGTTTATTTAATTATAATTTTTTATTTATTTTTTTTTTTTTTGGGAGTTTTAAAAATATTTCACTCGTACGCGTTTATTATTTTTATTCGTCGCCGGTTCGACCGTCTGCGTTCTCTTACTCGCGGTGCAATAATAGTTTTTTAACAAGTGTGTCTCTTGGTGCGTTTGTCGTGTGCGATCGGTCTTCGTTTCGATAAGTCGTCAACATAATCATATATACATAATAAATATAATAATAATGTTTGCGGCACCGACACGGAAAGCAGCTGACTCGGCCGCTACCGCCGCCGCCGCCTCTTCCGCCTCCATCGCGGTTTCGCGTGCTGCCCGTTGATCGTCTGTTTAAGTGTTTTTTTTTTTTGTTATTCTGTTGCCGTCAAGGAACGTCGTTTATTGCATGTTGTGCTGTCGCCTTGCCGTAGTGTCGCGTCGTCCGGTGCGCGCTTACCTCCGACGGGGCTTGACCGGTCGCACCAAAACGGCGGCCCATTCGGATAACAACGGTAAATAGCTGATGCTGTGTTACACGGTTAATTTAAAACGCGTCGGCCCCCATTTACTACACAATATTATTATGTTTACCCCTTCACTTGGTTCGTTTTACACTTGCCAATAGATAAAATATTATCTCGCATATTATTTTTGGCAATTCCGTATATTATCGTTTAGTCTCCCCGGCGCCCCGATTACACTCAAGCGGCCGTCGCCGTTGTTATCAGTTTTTTTGATAACGTTTGCTATTTATTATATATACATATATATGTATATATATACATATATTTATGTATAATATATATATATATATATTTTTTTTTTTACTCTCCCGACCGTTTCACGCACACTTAATTCGCGATTCTCGTTTTCAGATTGCAAATGAAACAATATATTTGGCGTTATGAACTACTGACGGGATGACTGAGCTCCGTTGGCTATCAGGAGGTGGTGAGTACATTGACATTTTCCTTGGGTTTTTTTTTTGTTTTTTTGTTATAGCATTAGGTCTGTCGGCTATAAGTCGACCGAAAGCGAAAACCCTAACGAGATAATTATTATTACAAGTAACCGCCACGTGGCGGGGGGCCCCCGTTCGTCGTCGTTTTGCATGTAGTATAATAATAACGAATAATCCGCAAAAAAAAAAAAAAAAAACATCTTTAATAAACTATACCATTGTAAACGTGCGGCGCGACCGACCGGGCTATTAATAATCAGTGAGGCCAACTTGAAAAACACATTATCCAAGACGTTCGGCCGATCGTGTCGTTTTTTTTCCTGTTCTAAACGAGAGAGAGAGAGAGACGGACGTCGGACGAGTCTTCTCGGCATGGAATGGCGTTCGGCGGTCGGCTATTATGATTGTACCTATATATTATTATTCGAGGTGCACACTGCAACGATATTGTATAAAAATCCATCTCCGTAGGCGTACTCGATTTTGGTGTTCGTTCGGCGGCGGCCGGGAAGGGTTAACGCGTTTCGACGACATTCTTTTAATCGCGCGCATTACAATAATTATTAGTATAGGCCCAATATTAGTAGATCTCGGCCCCGTTACACCGTGTCCATTTTGTATGTTTCGGTATTGTTTTACCCCTCTGAAAAACGCCCAATCGATAATATCGACCATCATCAAGTACAATACTTACCGGCGGCCAACGCTACAGGGTGACCCACGCGACGGTTCGTTGCCTAGACCGGCGGCGTGTTCTTGTGGGGCTTTCGCCGCGCGGGGCCGTTGAACTCGAGTTACAAGTGTGGCCAAGGCCGGTGACACAATCTCGAGCAAGAGCTTTAAGAAATGAGCAGATCTATGGTTGAGCTTTTATTGAAAAAAAAATATGGGTTTCGCCTTCAAATGGGCCCATCCGAGTTGTTCTCGGTTTTTATCTTGTGCGCCGTGATCGGTTTTTTTGGAGTGCCTCTTAAGTCCTCCTCGAACGAACGGCTTAACGTCAATTGTTGGCACGTTAATACACTCGTGCAACGTTGGCGACGGGTTGTATCATCTCGGACTAAGAACAACACGGCGCGTCCCGACCTAGTTCATTTGTTTGGGATATACGCAAGCTCTCATATTTTTAAAAAGTAAATACAAGCGATTTTCGAGGATAAACATTTAAAAAAAAATCGATAAAACTGTTTGTTCGCAATCCGACAGTCTCAAACGTCATATTAAAGTAAACACTGGTATACTAGAGTTTCACGAAGTCAGGTATTGTAAAAAAGGTGATTTAATTTAAAATTAAACAAAAAAAGGTGAATATTTAAAAATGTTTTAACGAAAATACTACGACTAAACGAGAATCTTATATAGAATTTATTTTTTTTATTGTTACTTAATTTTCCAGTAAGCTATATGCATTTGAAAATAATACTACTTACCCAAATTTAAAAAATTCGATATCTTGTCTTCGGTTTGAGTTTAAAAAAAAAATCACCTTCTTTTAATCTTTTAAGGAGTAATAAGTGTATGCAAAAGTCAAATGAATTTCTATTTGTCGTGGGCTACCTCGTATATACTTAAGGGCTCATAGCTTCAGCTTTCCACACACCGCCTCTTGAGATTTTTTTCTTATTTGCACTACCTAGTGAGTTTTATTTTTAAAAAAAACGCGCCTAAACAATTGTATACATATAAACATTCAACAGTCTGGTTCAATGTATGTCTTACCCTATATTATAGCTTGGCTTTGATACACGCATTAGCGGTATGACTTATATTAGATGTATATATATATATATATTTTGAAAAGCTATTTTTTTCTTGACATTAGGGTGTGTCTGAGCTACCCCCCCTTGGTTTCTTCCGTATGTGCAACGCTTTGAGTGTTGTACAACTCATCAGCAATCTCATCCGGCCGCCGCGTCCATTGATCGGCCGTCGACGTGTGTTGCACACACTGTACATACACACTGCCTAGAAAACGAATACCGCATTCTCGCACAAACGTTCGGCCGTGGGCAGAGCGTGGAGAGGGCGGGAGGGGGTAGGTTAAGATTTAAAGTTATCCCCCGGCCGAACAAAACGACACACCACTCCGGGGTAGTAGCCGCCATCTTTGTGCGTAGCCACCGACCCCTCCTCTACCCTCCCGCCGACCCAACCTGTTCCCCTCCGTCCGTCTGCGAGAGGGGCGAGTGCAATGGTTTCGAAATCAAAGTCAAACGGCCTCTGCCGTTGCCGGGCAAATCCTCTGGCCCGTATGTCGCACAGGGTGTATATATATATATATATATTATATATTGTGTCGCGGCCCGCCGCCGCCACACCGATAATGTAAAACGCCGCTCTTCGTGTTCACCCACCACCCTCCGACTCCACCTGACCCTCTCCTCCACCTTTTGCCGGTGTCGCCTATCCTTTTGCTCCGACGGCAGCTGCCGGTTGACTGTTTTGTTATGTGTGTGTGTGTGTGTGTGTGTATGTTGAAATGCGATCAATAAGCTTCGAAATGTTTGGACCGACGATGGCGTATGACGTTATACATTTGTAAAAACGTATATCTTAAAACGGGCAACGTCGAAATATTATTATTATTATTATTATGTAGAAAGAGAGATTGATCGATACACGACCGGCGGCAAAGTAGGTCATCGCGAAACGGACACCTCGATTTTCTCCGACGTTCTCTCGACGGATAAATCACGATATTTTACTAGGTATTTATCGTTTGTGTTGTGCGTCGTATTCTCGTTGGGAAAACGGTTGCGCCGAGCAAAATCCAACGACGGCCGTTGTGTAGCAGCGGATCGGCTCTCGAGAGGCCTGACAAGCCGCGGCGGCGGCGCGTTGTCCTTTTATATATTAGATTGTTTTTATCGTTGAAAAATCCGACCGTATCGCGTGCCGTAGTAACTGCCGGCGGCCGTAATTTCGCTGTTATAAATATCTAATCGGCCGCGTGGCAACACTGCTGCCGGTGTGTGTGCCCCCCCGTGCAACATACGCCGTTCGGAAGGTCGTTGAATGGCCGTGGATCATTGTCACACGGCGTGACCGGATAAACGGTCGTCGAGCGTTCCTTTCCTTCTTCTTCCCCACTTCGGGCGCCGTCGCTCTCCCTACCCGCCGCGAAGCTTTCCTCTTATCACGCGCTCCTCGCGCACACCAGCTGTTTTCCGTTAACGAATAAATATTTAGATAGTAAGTGAACGCGCACCGTGTTCTAGTTCTGGTTTCGACAAGATCATCAAGTTACATAAAAAACATAATGAAAAAAAAAAAAAAAAACTACTCTCAATTACTGCTGTACGCTAAATTTTTGTTTTTTTTTTTGGTTAAGGTTAAGGAACACCTTGTTAAATTAAAAAAACCGTACTGCTGTTGTACGTCGAGCTCGTTGTTTCGGTATACTCGTCGGTAATTGGTATCACTGAGAATCCGATAGAGATTTTCAAACGGTATCCCCCCCCCCTTTGTATTTTCCCCAACGAGTTAATGCCGGACGATACGATCGAGCGAATTAAAATAAACCTTAATTGCTATTAGTCGTTAATTAATTTGAAACTTATATTTTAATACCTCAAACAACGGTATTTACTCACCGATTGATGTCGGTTGACGGGCATTCCGATAAATATTATTCGATTTAGGGCCACAATTAAAACGATTTAATATTAGTATATTAGATATTATATTTGATTTGTGACTTCCTATTGTGCGGCACCTAAATAAATAATTTCAACTTACGTGACGTATGAACCAATTTATGTTATTTTGAACTAACGCCTATAAATTATTCCCTAAGATGTTATGTTGCTTTAATTGAAACTCACTTCGGTACTAATTCGATTATTCATTATTTACAGTGAAATATCATCATTATCCCGATTTGTGTATTATTTGGACTTTTTTTTTTTTAAATAATATTACAAAATTACCATTGCGTTGTTGGCGTATAATCAATCGGCGGTCGTTGTTTTTGATAAAATATGTGTTTACTGTTGCGGTTTTTTTTTTTTTGTTTGTTCTTTAATTTTACCACACGGCTAGTCTGTTATCTTCACCGATAAACTGAAAAACGAATACACATGTAATACATAATATATTAATAATACATTTCGAATCCCGAGTATAGTATACTGTTCGTTGCCGGCGTGAATGGTAATTGTATAGTAATATACGATATATTTTAATAATAATACTTGTAGTGTGTGTATGCAAAAAAATGTACGTGGAAATAACAACAGCAACCAGTTTGGCGGTCGTCCGTTATGTCTACTTTTTTTTTTTTTCTTCGCGTTCCCCCTCGAAGGATTGTGAAATCTGTTATATTATTATTTTTTTTTCATTAAAATGAAATGTGGCAACGCCGAAGAGAATCAAGAATCAAATTCGCTAATTATACCGTCGACGGTCCTTGAGGTATCTTTTTTTTTCCCCTTTATTTCACCTCTGCCCCTTCTACTACAACTCATATACACACACATTCGAACGCTTCCCCTTTTTTTGCGCTGTCGACCGTATCGAAAAAACAGTAATAATACATTTAAAAAAAAACTGCGCGATAACTCGAATGTATTACATTTAATAATAAGGTAAGTGTCGTATCACACACGCGTTTATTTTGTTTACAATAATTTTATTAAAAAAAAAAAAAATAATCGTCAGTTTTTATTATAGAAAAAAATCTGAAAAACTGATTGGATCATAAGTATATTATGTCTTATGGTACCAATAAGAAGGTTCACGTTCATTTTCTTCAGCAATCAGCTGGTTTTCTTATCAATGATATCCTTTCTTTTAATCCCTCCACTCGCTTTCCCTCCCCCTCTTCTCTTGATGTCGCCAATTCAAGTTAAGAAGTCACTCATAACGCAATTTTTCGACTGACCTCCAGCCATATGGAATTTTCATATGAATAAAAAATTCCCTACGAAAACACCTATTCGAAACCAACACAAAAACTGCCCCCCCCCCCCCAAACTCACTGGGAAAAAAT